GGAGACTGCATCTTTTATTATTTCCGATGATCTATCTGTAAACCCTGCTGATTTGAGCACAATATTGTGTCTGCTAAAGAATCTATGCTCTAAAGATCCACCCCAGGAATCCACTGTGGTTCTTCGCTCAAAAGAGGTGAACTTCTGGAACCATTGATTATGTCATCACTATGAGTATTAAATCCTTTATCTCTCATCATCTGATGATTTATTATGTTTTTGAAGATCTTGGACCTGCTCAAGTGCTTGATAATCTCGAAGACGGCACTCACAGATTCATTGTTAAGGAAGGAGCACAGCCTTGTGAATTCCGAAACCTTTCTCAAGATAACTGAGAGACTAGGCAGAGAGAACACTAGGACGATGAAGATGAAGGTATTGATCAGAAAATCAAAGTTCAAGATATTGTTTGCTCAAGTTGAGGAAGATGTCATGGACCAGCTTCTTAGTTTCTTGACATTCCCAGTAGGAGCGCAGCAGTAGAAAGAGTTTTAGAAGGAAACTCTGGATTGGAATGCGTCGACAAATTATATAACAGTTTGTTCAATTTTGATTCAACAAGAGACTTGAAGTCAGAGAAGTTGAAAAATGTGTTCGCCAACCTCATGATAGCCCCATTCTTTAATGTTAATAACCAGATGTTACCTATTGATGAACTAAAGTGTCCGTCTCAGTTAAATTGTTGTTCTAACCACTACGCTGTTGGTCCATATTATTTGACTGCTGATACTAGTTTGTATGTCCGTGGTGTGAGAAGAGTAAGAATGTGCGACCCTAAGTCCCCAATAACGGAGGACAAATCAGGCAGTGGATATGCAAAGAGTGGAACCAAGTTCATGGTTGCCGATGACTTGTCTGTGAAACCTTTATCATGTCATGATGTTTTATCACCTTTAACTGAATTCAAGGTGCCTTACCATGACTTGGAAGAAAGAACAATCTGCATTGGGGTACAAGAGGTACGTATCTTCTAACCTTTAAACAGACAAATTAAAAGACATGCAAATTTTGTTTGAAACCAAAAAACAAGAAGTCATATGGTTTGGGTTTGTTTTCCCTTGAATGTGATCAGATTTATTAGCATGCTTGCTGCAATTTTCTTTTGCCTTTTGCATCAGACTCATGCATACAAATGCAGGTTATGGCATCCTTAAAGCTTCCATGATTTTCAACATCAGCTTTGACAATTGGCCTGCAAGAATTTTTATCAAATAATGTTAAGATGAAGGGGAAACAAAGACGCAAAGCAAAAAAAAAAATAACTGTTGGCGAAATGGAAGCCTGCGAGCTACGTGACTAGTGCTTCGATTTCCTGATCCTCTTTCGTAATTCTACCTTGTTGTTTTGTTTTGAAGAAGTGTGATGGCTTCTGACTGAATAAATAATTACATAACGGTGGTTTGGTGCCCAACGTATTTGCTTTATCCAGTCGTATTTGCTTTATCTAGTGATTCTCCTTCGCTTTCCTATCAACTATAGAATTCGCAACCCCCTACTCCAGATGAAAAGAACTTCATAAAACAAGTGGATGATTTTTCCCCTTTTAGGTGATGGGGAGCCATTTCGTTCTATGAATTTCATCCACGATCACATGGCTTAACTTTTCCACACGAGTGAAAATATATGGAGAAATCAAATCCCCTTTCCCCACTCCATAAGCTCTGCGCATTAATACTATCAATACAAACCACAATGATTTTACAAAGTTTCAGGCTGAGACGAGTTTCTATTAGTATTTCTCGGGTGAAATTCCATTCCAATCTATAACGGTTTTCAAGTTCACTTTGGCTGCTGTGAACCCCACAACCTCCCCCCCCCAAAAAAAAAAAAAGAAAAAGCTTTATTGAGCAAATTATTCCAAGCAATTATAGTGATATCACTGCGCTGCCTTCCCTATTATAAAACTGCGTTGGTTTGTTGCCAACCAACTTACTAAGATACTGTTTGGTATGAAGCATGGAAAATGAGAGGTAGAGATTGTGATTGAGATTGGGATTGAAAAAATCTATTAGAAAAATTACTTGTTACATAGGATTGGACAAAACTATGTGTATGAGATTGGAAAAACCCATAACGGGAGATGGCATGGTATTCGCCAATCTCATCTTCATGAGTTTGTCTAATCTCACGTAACAAGTAATTATTTATACTAAATACTTCTTTAATAATTTTTTTGAAGTTTAATCTTACTCTATTTCTTATTTTTAATGGTTTGTACCAAACAGAACCTAAGTGTGCTTGGCCATCACTTTGGAGATGATTTATATTTGCAGAAAAGAGTACAAGGCATTGAATCTATTAGCAAATGCCCAGTCAATTCTTTCCTTAAACGGTATCTGCATGAGTTGAGCTTCTTCAATACATGCCCAGTCAATTCTTTCCTTAAACGGTATCTGTATGAGTTGAGCTTCTTCAATACAATCTTTAATAGGTCTCATGGTTGCATAATTACAAGACTCATTACCTACGTACGTACCTTGTCATTCAAAGAAAGATAGGCGCTGAAATCTCCAATAGTAACCTGATATTTCTGCTAATATTTTCAAGGTCCCCCACAACTGTTTTCTTCAGCATAAATACGGGACAAGCGGAAGTTCTCGTCACCGTTGACATCAGTGAAGAAGTTGGGCAGTTGAGAGATTCAAGTAATAGTCTAAGATTCATGGATTTAGGGTGTTTGCCACCTTTAATAGTTATGGCTTAATGAAAAAAACGAAAAAGCCACCTTCTCATGAATAATCAACAAGACAAAGGATTTTTTTTAAAACTGGAATAAAGTGAAGATTGATCTCTCAAGATCATTTGAGAAGAAAAACTAATTTCGATTGGCGCGTGAATAATTTTACTGTACCAAAATGAGAGCAAACAACTCTTCAGTCTCCAACAAAATGAAACATGATGTGTTTACAACGTATAATTGTTCTGAAAGGTTTTAGCACAATACCTATGAATTATTAACATCTAGTTGCCTTTCTGAGAATAAATTATTATTAGGATAAGATATTTAAATACCTTGGAGTATTTATGAATGAGCATCCAGCACCTAAAATTTTTTCTGACTCTTATATGCTCAAGAAGTTTTATTTCATATAATTTCTGTTCTAAACTACTATTCACCGTTAAGTTTAACCATTAAGGATACTGGTCACATCGTGTAATTTAACAATCAAATTTAACGGCTAATTATTGTCAATGTATTTTTGTTACGAAAATAGACTTTTTGGGTATATAAGAGCAAAAACAATCCACATGCTGAATGTTTTTTCATAGATGCTTTCGAGGTATTTGAACACTTTATCCCATTATTGTTTACTTTATAATATGTGGCATAATATATTTCTGGCAGAAAAAAGAAAGTAGTAAAATATATGAAAAAATTCGATATTCAATATACACGGTCCAATGTTTTGGCCGAAAAAATACATACGGTCCAATGGGGTTCATATATTACTATACGCTGCGTTGATAGCCATAGGAGATATGTCGTGGCCGGAAAAGGGTACATGATACGTGCAAGTGAGGCTTTCTTTTGAATTTAGGGGTTAATATAATCTTTAGTGTCATCAAATTTACCCTTATTTTGATTTTGGTCTCTCAAATTTCAAATTATAGGTTTTGATCCCATAATGACATAATGGTCCAGATTTTTATTAAATTATAGGAACTGATATTTTAAATGAAAAAAATTTAAGAGATCAAAATTTATAATTTGAAATTTGAGAGACTAAAATCAAAATAAAGGTAAACTTAAGAGACAAAAAATTGTAATAACCCTTTTTGAAAACAAAAATGTAAGATGATGTTCTCACTAATATGATTATCGTTATATTAATAAAATTCTAAACAGATATGACAATGGGTGATTTTTAAGTCTTGTAATATCCGCGAGCACAACTTAAAAAATGATTTATATTTTAAAAATTAAATATAAATATGTGACGAAAGATTTATATTATACGTATCATAGTATCATAATTTATTTCATGTTTTAGGTAGTTTTATTTTTCATGGATTATTATAAGTGTATACTTGACTTGATTGCAGCCGCTAAAAATTCTGGAGAAGAGCTAAACAGGCGAAGATAGGCAGAAAAAAGCATTTAACAAAAAATCTTAACTTAGCAATGAAAGCTAGAACTTTTTTACTTCCAAAAGAGTGCAGGCATTTACTTAACGAGTAAGCCTGATTGAAAGTTAAAGAAGGAGGAGTCACAAAGCCTTGGTCATATCATTAGTTTCTAATAATTCAGGAGCCCTTGTTCATAACCATAACCTCGATAGCGATGTGTGTATATTATATCAAATTCAAATTCAAATAGGTTACGTCGTTGTTACAGTTTCTGAAACATTTGCTGCATTTGGTGGGTTAATAATATTGCTCCCATGGCTTCAACTGCTATACCGAAACAAATTTCATTGAGAGTTGTTGTGGATAAGGAGCAAAACAGAGTGCTCTATGCTGAAGCAGAGAAGGATTTTGTGGATACTCTTTTAAGCTTCTTGACACTGCCACTGGGAACCATTGCTAGACTCGCAGGTAAGGATTCAACCACGAAGCCTTGTCGATTCGGATGCATAAGCTCGCTGTATGAAAGTGTGGGAAATCTGGACCCCAAGTATTTGAATTCAGAGACATGCAAGCAAATGCTGCTTCAGCCAAGGAACTCCATGGAACGTTATAATCAAAACCTCAAACTCAACATTGATGACACTGAGCCAACCAAGTATTATGCTTGTGCATATTGTCTTTTGGAGAAGGTGGTTCTCTGGTGAGCACTTCCGAGAATATGAAATGCAAATGTGGGCGGGATTCTAGGTTCCCTCTGAACCGTTGCAAATCGCTCTTATGCAGTCCTCTGTTAAGTGGATCCGATAAAAACGCGAGTGGCGATGCTGGAGGTAATAATTGCAATGCATTTTATATTTTTTGTCATCCTTATTAACAAACCATATTTGATTAGATTATTAATATTTTTCTTTTAGACCTTGTCCAAAATGCAGATAATACATGGGAAGGCTATGTAAAGGAGACTGCATCTTTTATAATTTCTGATGATCTATCTGTAACTCCTGCTAATTTCAACACAACATTGTGTCTGCTAAAGAATCTACGCTCTGAATGTCTACCGGAGGAATCCACTGTAGTTCTTAGTTCAAATGAGGTTGAGTTCTGGAAACATTAACTATATCTTATTTTCTTTATATCACATCACCTAATGCTTTAATTTATTATGTTTTCGAAGATTTTGGACCTACTCAAGTACTTGTTGATCTCCAAGACGGCACTCACAGATTCATTGTTAAGAAAGGAGCACAGCCTTATGTATTCCGATACCTCGTTCAAGATAACTGATGAGAGACAAGACAGAGAGAGCACTGGGACGATGAAGATTAAGGTATTGATGTCAAAATCGAAGTCCAAGATATTGTTTGCTCAGGTTGAGGAAGATTTCATGGACCAGCTTCTTAGTTTCTTGACTTTCCCATTGGGAGCAGTAGAAAGAGTTTTAGAAGGAAACTCTGGGGCGGTGTGTGTCGACAAACTATATAACAGTTTGTTCAATTTTGATTCAACCGTAGACTTGACGTCAGAGAATCTCAAAAACATGTTCGCCAACCTCATGATAGCCCCATATTTTAATGTCGATAACCAGATGGTACCTATCGATGAACTAAAGTATCCGTCTGAGTTAAGTGTCTGTTCTAACGAGCATGCTATTGGTCCATATTATTTGACTGCTGATGCAAGTTTGTATCTCCGTGTTGTGAGAAGAGTAAGAATGTGTGACCCTAAGCCTCCAATAGCGGAGGGGAAATCAAGCAATGGATATGCAAAGAGCAGAACCAAGTTCATGGTTGCCGATGACCTGTCTGTGAAACCCTTTTCATCTCACCATGTTCTATCATCCTTATTAACTGAATTGAAGGTGCCTCACCATGACTTGGAAGAAAGAACAATCCGCATTGGGGTACAAGAGGTACGTATCTTCTAACCTTTAGACACAACAAATGAGATGCCAATTCTGTTTGGAACGACTGAGATGCAAATTCTGTTTGGAACGAAAAAACAAGAATTTATATGGTTTGGGTTTGTTTTCCCTTGAATATGATCAAATTTATTTGCATACAAATGCAGGCTGTGAGCATCCTTAAAGCTTCCATGGTTTCAACATCAGCTTTGACAATTGGCCTGAAGGAATTTTTATCAAATAATATTAAAGAAGAGGGCGAAACAAAGACGCGAAGCAGTGGCTAGTGCTTCAATTTCTCGATTCTCTCTTGTACTTCTGTCTTCTTGTTTTGAAGAAGTGTGATGGCTTATGGTAGAATAAATAATTATATAATGGTGGTTTGGTGCTCAACGTATTTGCTTTATCTAGTAACTAGATGGTGCTGTCCCGTGCGTTGCACGGGGAGCAATTACTTTAAATGAGAACCTCACCTAAAATAATGTCTCTTTACACTTAAAAAAAAAAAAATCAAAGTGTTAACGCTACAACCATTGTAGAAACATAGGACTGCTATTGAAAAAACTGAGCTCCCTCTCTCTTGTATCGGGCGGTTCAAGCTTTTCTTTTATGGCGATGCTTCCACTTAACATTTGGAGAGCATTTTATTTGCAGTTCTCTAAGTATCTCCCAATAGATTAAATTGGTATTTGGCTCTCTCTGTTTTTTTTTTCCCTCTCTAACCACGTCCCACCACGTATTGATGAAAATATCTGATATTGTAATTAGGATGAATATCATTACTTAGTAAGGGGGGAAAAAAATCTCTATTGGGCCTATAATCCACAACATATGACGAAAATATCTAAAGCTAAAAAATGCGTAATTTCCAGATGCTTTTCATAGTGCTTAATTTATTGTTTACTAATATTATTATTTGATACAAAGAAAGTCACCAAAATCACCATGCGTCATTAAATGCCACCTCCAACCTATTTAACGGTCTTTAGTCAGTACTCATCATAACAATGAATACTATGTGCTTATCACTATAATACAATTTAAACCATCCAAAATCTAATATGGATGGCTCAGATTTAAAATTTTTAATATATAATTTTTTAACTGGTAAATTTATTTTTTAAAGATATCTTAGTTATGATATTCTATTTACTTAAAACTCTGTATCTATTAAAGCAAAAAGTTGATTAAAATATATAAAAAACTTAAATTCAATATGAACCATCTAAAATCGATCTGAATTGTTCAAATTGTGATAAGCATTCCATACTCATCATTGTGATGAGCATGGAATGTGCTCCCTCTATTTGTTGGTGAGTTTGAAAGGAATCTAGTTTCAGTGCTGATCGCAATGATAAGCACTATGATACTCATCAAATCTCAACCATTCAAATTTAATATGGACGGTTGAAATTTAATATTTAATATTTTTATTTCTTAAAAAATAATTTTTTAATAGGTATATAATCCAAAATAAATATAATATCTTAACTATAAGTTTTTTAAAAAAATAAATTTTTACTTGAAAATCATTAATTAAAAATTTTAAATCTAGGGCATAAAAATTGATTTTAAATAGTTTGTTTTCAATTTAATGGTTATATTTCTGATTTTAATTTCTGATTTTCCTGATTCATTCTATTGATGGGCGCTCAACTACCCGGCAGGGATGGATTTTTGGAAGGTGGAAGAACAGAAGAAAACCAGGGCAATAATGTCTTTTTACTAATTTTTGTTTGAGTTGGGTCTTACCTATTTTTTCTTCATCCCATCCCAGACCAAACATAATATTAAAACTTAATACCAACTCCAATCCCATGCCCATTCCCATTCCCATTCCCAACTCCATTCCCAATCCCTTAAACTTTAATACCTAGAATCAAACATGACCTTAGTGTTTTCATGGCAGGTTAGTTTATTACTTTGTTGGATAAACTACAGGATATTGATTGAAGAGGCTACATCTATGAATTGAATATGGAATAAAAATGCAACCACATAGAGAGAGAGATATAGTCATAGTTGAAGTATGTCTGTACTCCAGGAAATAAGCTGATTCTAGGAAAAGGAATATGTTTGGAAAAACAAATGAGGGATGCTTAACCTAAATAACGTTATGCTGGATTATCCGCATGGAAACTAAAACTTTGGCCCACAAAAAAAAAAAAAAGGGAAACTACGACATATAAAAAATGATTTCGTGATTGCATGACTTCCGGCAGCTAAGCATTCTTTTATCTTTGCATTTGCCTATAACCATTGGACAACAAAGTGTCTTCATAAGTAAGCATCCTTTTATCCATTTGCTAATAAGTTGTTAGGGGTCATTAAATTGACATGGCAGCATTAGTTTTAAATATGGTCTTGTGATTTTTAACTGACAAATCAACCCATGCAGCTTTTCTCTTACGCAACTGTCACTGTTAATCTTTTATTTCTTCAGTGACAACAGCTATAATATAGCCGAAGGACCAGATGCTTACAAACAACAAACAACCAACAACCAACATGATCTTAACTTCTATTTTTTTATATGAAAATCTTATACTACTAATATTATATATTCTATGTTTTATGTTAAAAATGAAAACGCTGAAGTTTTATGAACATAAACATTGTTATTGTTAATGGAAGGTTTTTCTATGCGCAGAAATCCCGCATCTGATTATGATTTATTATTATACTAAAAATAACAATGTTTATATGATCACATATGATTATGTTCATGTATATGCAACCATACATGTTGCCATGTTAGTGAGTTACTTGAAGTAATTGTCGCAAAGGTTTCCTTGGCGAGTTGTATAGTCTTAAAAAAGTCTTGGTAACAAAGAAATAGATTGTTTCATTAGTGAGTTGTAGCTTTGAAAAAATCTCACTCATTAAATTTGACGCATAAACATTGTCATTGTTAGTGTCCACATCAAGGGAGCAAATTAATATTCTCAAAGTACTACTTGGCCATAACAGCAAGGAGTTAATATCTCATTCCCATGTCTGAAGTAATCATTAGCTTCACTTATAATTGTATGCCCTAATCGGATGTCTTGGCAAATGATCTTTTCATTGTCTATATTTTATAGCAGAGATATGTTTCGCACTTTTAAATTGATCCGACAATTGAGTGGAATTAAGGGAATGAAGTTTAAGTGAATAACTCTCTTGTCATATGTATTTTAAACTTTGACTTGCAGCTCTTAGACTTTTCCTTGTGATAAAGGATGAATAGCTTTGCCTGTAAGGATCGGGTCCGACTGGTCGCAAACGGGAATGCAAAGCGCCTTCCTTACCATATCATGAGCTCGATACCTGCGAGTGCACATGAGATTAGTCTGACCGTTGTACTGAGATACCCTGAGAAGCGATACCATCCTATTCAAAAAAGGATGAATAGCTTTTCCTAATTTCCTTGTCAAGTTAACTTTTTCAGAAGTTTTGACCGGTTTCATTAGAGACAAATTTTACAGCCTGCACCGCACTTTTGCCGGACAATTTTGCATTACCAAAAGTTATCTACATACGAAGCTCTGTAGCACTTACAGTCATTAGTTAGAATTTAATTATTCATAGGATAAACCACCACGGTCCACATTATGCATTCTAAGCAAAGGTCAGAGTACGCGTCCAAAAATATGCACAACATCTAACATCTTCCGGTGTGCAGTATGTCAACTGATTGAAAAATCCACCCCCATGAACCTTTTTACTACTTGACATCCTATCCCGTCTTATTCCATGAACCATCGCACTAAATCTTAAATGTGAATCAGCATTTCAAAGTATATTATGTGGATCATCACAAAAAGTCAAAAAAACATTCAAATGCTAAATAATAAAAGACTTTGGAGCATCCTTTGCATTTCGTGGCTCGGGAATTCTGCAAACATATACATGGTTGGTTAATAGTATCAAAAATATTCTATAGATATAGATGAAATTAATAGTTGGACTTCGATAGCACAACGTATAAAGTACAAGGTTTACATTTGACTTTGATTTTTATTTGCAACAGGATGCCCCTCTTGGGTGGAAGAAAAATACATGTTTAAAAGGTCCCCACACACGCACGTTATTCAATTTCATTTTTTCTGGAAAATGACGTGCCCCGTCTTTCTTTCACCTATGTGAATTGATTTCGTCTTTTGTGTAGATCCTTACAATTGGACAGAGAATATAGAAAAACCCCATCAATTAATCTTGATATACTGTTTCAAATGCCAAATCAGCAAAAATAGGTAAAATGAGAAGAGGAATGAGAAAACTTCTTGAGGTTTGGACAAAGCTTCTTGACTTGGAAAAGATAACAACACTTGCATTGAAGAAGGCCCTTGGATCGAATGAAGGTCTAGTCTGTGGGACCATAATTGTTGACAGGAAGTAGAAGCATTTTGTCTTCCTTTCTTTGATAGTGATCCTTATTCACTTGCAAACATTTCATACGTCTCCCTCTCTCTGCTATGTCCCTTGATTCTACTGATAAAATGTTCAAGGATGGAGAACCTAGAGAGAGTTGATAGCCACAACACTGAATCTGGTTGGGAAAAAGATGAAATTTTGGCAGCATGAGAAAAAACGATAGCTGAAATATTGCTGAAATGAGGAAATATAAAATGGAGATATAGGATTACAATATAAATGTACAATCGCTATTATCTCGTAGATTCGCTGCCCTCTTTAATGTCCATGCTCGTGAAAAAGAAGGGGGAATGTCATGAAGTGGAAACATCCACCATCCTTTTTCAAACGAACCTGAAGGCAAATGCTGCGGGTATGAAGGTCAAGATATAATGTAAGAAGAAGAGGAAAAATAATCATCAAAAAAGAAGCCAAAAGCACTGCAAGCTGACTTTATCTGTCATATCCTCAGCGATTTCTCTCTACTGTCGCATCCTCGCCTGAAAAGAATCACCGCCGATTCCTCTCATCTCTGCCTCCCAACTATCATGGCCATCGTGATCATGGCTTCTCCGTCGTCGCCAAGGCTGCTAGATCTCCCTACCATCCTTACTGAGAAATGAAAAAGAAGAATGCGATGGAATAGAGAGGGCGAGGACCAATGTGTAGCCCTCACTCCTGTCACTCACCTTCCTATAGCCATGATCTCCTCGTCTCTGCTTCCCCAGTGTCATCGCCATTCTCATCAGTGCCTCTCCGCTGTTGTCGTGGTCACCAGATCTCCCCACCATCTTCAGTGTTTAGCTCCTCATTAGTAAAGACGTAGACTGAAGAAGAAGAGACCAACGAAGAAAATGAGTGAGGCGCTTTGAAAAAGAAATTGACGGTTGGAGGCTAAGAAAGATGATATGGGAGGGGTTGAGAAGTGAGCCGTACGAGAAAGAGAGAAAGTGTGATGCCGAAGAAATAGAAAGGACAAGACAGTGTTGACAGGACTCATAAATGGGGAATTTGCAACCCCCCATTATAGATCAAAAGAATTTCTAAAATTTTCATAAAATAGGTGGACGATTTTTTTTTCTCCCTTCCAGGTGATGGGGAGCCATTTCCTTCTATGAATTTCATCCATAATCACATGGCTTAACTTTTCCATACATAGAGTGAAAATATATGGAGAAATCAGATCCCCTTTCCCCATTCCTATGTACAACTATGTACAACTTCTGGTTCTTATCACATAATCAATTTGAAAAAAATTAAGAAAATTAATTAAGTTAGTTAATTATAATAAATTTGTGTTGTCTTCTCTAAATTATCCTATTTAATCATGTACATTAAAAATATCTTTTAGTGAGAACACCTTGCAATTAATGAGAATATTTTAGAGAAAATATTATAAATTTGAGAGACAAAGTGGATCGATATCTTATATTTAAAATCAAATTCAATCTTTAACTAGCTTTTATATTTAACCATTGTACTATGGAAATTAATTTCAACCATCGTTTAATGCTAATCCAAAGAAGTTCTTTCAAAATTTTAGTGTTGTTCAAGAAACGATAACTAACTTAACTAATTTTTATAATATACTTAAATTAGTCAACCGGTTTTTATTTTAAGGAACAGAGGTAATATATCATAATTTATTTCCTGTTTTAGGTGATTTTATTTTTCTTCAATTATTGTAATTACCAAAGAAGAGCTAAAGAGGCGAATATACTTAATTAGCAAGAACATTTTAGGAAAGCAACACCTATTTATTAAAAATAACTGACTTAATTTATTTCTTATTTATTTAAATAAAGCCGACCTAGAAGAATCAATTTCTTCAAAATTTGAGAAAGCAAATTCTCTTTGGCAAAGAAAGAAAAAGAAAAAGCAAATTCTCTAACAAAAAGGGGTCAAAAAAGAAAAAGAAAAAGAAAAAGAAAAGGAAAGGAAGGAAGAAAAAGATAAAAAAGTTAAAAAAAAAAAAGTTGAAAGCAAATTACAAGACTTTATTTTTAAGGAATTATGATTACTGCGATCTGTGGTCTGCCGAAGGAAATACTCCTATTACTGATTATAGCTACCCAAACATGATCATATTAAAATAAAATTATAAAAAATGATAATATTAAAATATACTGGGATTACTATGGGAAGACTAATTTAATAATTTTCACTTGTAAAGATAGTAAGAAGTTGAAGCAAGCTGGATCATACTTCTCATTTTTTTTATTTCAAAATTAACTACTCTCTCCGGCCTTTTCTATTAAATCATATTAACTACCTTTTTAAGGATTAAGGAAATTAATTAAATTCACTAAATATTAAAAAAATTTGCAACTTTTTAAACTTAACCTTTGATAGTTATAGCTTAAAAAGCCACCTTCTCGTCAATCAACAAAACAAAAGATTTTCTTAAAACTGGAATAAAGTGAAGGTTGATCCCTTACGTTCGTTTGACGAGAAAATCAATTTCAATTGACGCAAAAATATTTTTACTGTACCAAACTAAGAGTAAACTACTCTTTACTCTCCCACAAAATGAAACATAATGTGTTCACAACATATAGTTGTTCTAAAAGGTTTCAGCACAATGCCTATGGAATTATTAACATCTAGTTGCCTTTCTCAGAATAAATTATTATTAGGATAAGGTATTTAAGTATCCTGAAATATTTAAGAATGAGCATCTAGCACCTAAAATTTTTTCTGACTCTTATATACTCTAAAAATATTATTTCATGGTATTTCTATCTTGAACTGTTATCCACCGTTAATTTTGACTGTTATGGACCTCAGTCATATTGCATAATTTAACAATCAAATTAAATAGCAGATAACAGCTAACGTATTTTGGCTACGAAAATAAACTTTTTGAGCATATAAAAGCAAAAGAAATCCACATGAATACTTCTGAAGTATTTAAGCACTTTATCCTATTATTATTTACTTTATAATATGTAGTATAACATATTTCTAGCAGAAAAAAGAAAGTAGTGAAATATATGAAAAAATTTAATATTTAATATATACGGTCCAATGTTTTGGCCGAAAAAATATATACGGTCCAATGGGGTTCAGATATTACCATATGCTGCGCTGATAGGCATAGGATATGAGCTGTGGCCAAAAAAAGGTGAAGGATATTTGCTAGCGACGTTTTCTTTTGAATTTAGGGTCTAATTTTTAAAAAAGTTAATATAATTTTTAGTTTATCAAGTTTATCTTTATTTTAATTTTAATCATTTAAATTTTAAACTATAGGTTTTAGTCTTTCAAAAGGGAGAATGGTGTAAGTTTGTATTGAATTATATGTATCAATATTTTAAATGAAAAGAAACTTAAAAGAACAAAAACTGTGGTCAGGGACTAAACCAAAATAAAGACAAACTTAACAGACTACAAATTATATTAACTTTTTTTAAAACAAAAATGTAAGATGATTTTCTCACTAATATAACTATGGTTATATTAATAAAATTCTAAATAAATATGACGATGGGTGATTTTTATGTCTTGTAATATTTGCGAGCACAACTTAAAAATGATTTATATATTTTAAAAATTAAATATCAATATGTGATAAAAAGATTTATATTATACTAAATATATAGTATCGTAATTTAATATTATTCATGTTTCAGGTAATTTTAATTTTCATCGATTATTATGAGTGCATACTTTACTTGATTGCAACCCCTCAGAAAAAGGCACTTAACAAAAAATCTTACCTTAGCAATGAAGGCAAGAATCTTTTGACTTCCAAAAGAGTGCAGGCATTTACTTATCGAGTAAGCCTAATTGAAAGTTGAAGGAGCAGGAGTCAGTCACAAAGCCTTGGTCACTTCATCTGTTTCCAATAATTCAAGAGCCCTTGTTCATACCCATAACCTCCATAACGAGAGCCACTCTCCAATAGAGGTTCTGTATATCTTCTTGTGTGCTGTACACACACACGCACACCAAATTCAAATAGGTTACGTCCTCGTTACAGCTTCTGAAGCATTTGCTGGATCTGGTGGGTTAATAATATTGCTCCCATGGCTTCAACTGCTATACCGGGAGAAATTTCATTGAGAGTTGTTGTGGACAAAGAGCAAAACAGAGTGCTCTATGCTGAAGCAGGGAAGGATTTTGTGGATATTCTTTTAAGCTTCTTGACACTGCCACTGGGAACTATTGCGAGACTTGTTAGTAAGGATTCAACCACGAAGCCTTGTCGATTCGGATGCATAAGCTCACTCTATGAAAGTGTGGGGAATCTGGACCCCATGTATTTGAATTCAGAGACATGCAAACAAATGCTGCTTCAGCCAAGGAACTCAATGGAATGTTATAATCGAAACCTCAAACTCAACATTGATGACACTGAGCCAACCAAGTATAACGTTTGTCGAGGTTGTCGTGCTGTAGAAGATGGTTCTCTGGTGAGCACTTCCAAGGATATGAAATGCAAATGCGGGCAGGATTTTACGCGCATCTTTTTGGACCCTTGCAAATCGCTCCTATGCAGTCCTCTGTTAAGTGGATCTGATAAAAACACGAGTGGCGATGCTGGGGGTAATAATTGCAATGCATTTTATATTTTTTGTTATCCTTATTAAACAAACCACATTTGATTCGATTATTACTATTACTTCTTTCATAACTACTCCAAAATACAGATAATACATGGGAAGGCTATGTAAAGGAGACTGCATCTTTTATTATTTCTGATGATCTAGCGGTAATTCCTGCTGATTTCAACACAACATTGTGTCTGCTAAAGAATCTTCGCTTTGAAGGTCCACCGGAGGAATCCACTATGGTTCTCAGTTCAAATGAGGTTAAGTTCTAGAAACATATTATGTTTTATTTTGTTTGTATCACATCACCTGATGCTTTAATTTATTATGTTTTCGAAGATTTTGGACCTACTCAAGTGCTTGTTGATCTCCAAGACGGCACTCACAGATACATTGTTAAGGAAGGAGCACAGCCTCGTGCATTCAGAAACCTCGTCCAAGATATTTGATGAGAGACAAGGTAGAAAGAGCACTGGGACGATGGAGATAAAGCTATTGATGTCAAAATCGAAGTCCAAGATATTTTTTGCTCAGGTTGAGGAAGATTTCATGGACCAGCTTCTTAGTTTCTTGACATTCCCAGTAGGAGCAGTAGAAAGAGTTTTAGAAGGAAACTCTGGGGTGGTGTGTGTCGACAAATTATATAACAGTTTGTTCAATTTTGATTCAACCGTAGACATGAAGTCAGAGAATCTAAAACACGTGTTTGCCAACCTCATGATAGCCCCATATTTTAATGTCAATAACCAGATGTTACCTATCGATGAACTGAAGTATCCGTCCGAGTTAGGTATTTGTTTTAACAAGGATGGTAGTGGTCGATATTATTTGACTGCTGATGCAAGTTTGTATGTCCATGTTTGAAGAAGAGTAAGAATGTGCGACCCTAAGTCTCCAATAGCGGAGGAGAAATCAGGCAATGGATATGCAAAGAGCGGAATCAAGTTCATGGTTGCCGATGACTTGTCTGTGAAACCCTTTTCATCTCACCATGTTCTATCATCCTTATTAACTGAATTGAAGGTGCCTCACCATGACTTGGAAGAAAGAACAATCCGCATTGGGGCACAAGAGGTACGCATCTTCTAACCTTTAGACACAACAAATGAGATGCCAATTCTGTTTGGAACGAATGAGATGCAAATTCTGTTTGGAACGAAAAAGCAAGAAGTTATATGGTTTGGGTTTGTTTTCCCTTGAATATGATCAGATTTATTTGCATGCTTGTTGCAATTTATTTTTGCCTTCTGTATCCGGCTCATGCATACAAGTGCAGGTTATGAGCATCCTTGAAGCTTCCATGGTTTCAACATCAGCTTTGACAATTGGCCTGAGGGAATTTTTATCAAACAATATTAAAGACGGAAAGCAGAAACATAACGGTTGGCTAAATAGAAGCCTGAGAGCAACGCCCTTCAGTTTCTTGACTTGTTTTCAGACTTTTGCCTTGTTGTTTTGTTTTGGAGAAGTGTGATGGCTTGTGATTGAATCAGTAATTGTATAATGGTGCTTTACTGCTGTTTGGCAAGTCCTCTTATGCACATTGTCCATAGTACTTTGGATAGGCTGGAAAGTAGAGTTGGCGTCTAATTTCCCTTTGGACTTGGGCTTGTCAGATGCTTTATTTTCGTTGCCCACTTTAGATTTTCCTGTATTTGCCCTCTTCGACCCTACTTGGACCCACACGGACTTGCCATTGGAAATATCCTTCCCAGAGTTTCGGCTCTGTGGTTGACCATCACCCAAAGACTGCTCTTTTATTTTGCGTTGTGATACTGTTTTCTGTATTCCTGATCTTCCGTCATCTCTCCCCTTCATCCCGCTCTGATTGCTTGCAATATTATCCTGTTCAAATCCCATCATATCCGGAATTTTAACTCCCCCTCGGAAATCCCGACTAATCAGCATCTGAGGGCCCAAGTGAGGGTCGGGAGTCACCAGTGAGTTCTTGGTCGCCGGGGGTTGGGGTGCTCGTACCAGTGCCTTCTTTCCTTCAGCCGTGATCTCAGCCTTCTTCAATTTTCTTCCTGCAGTTGCGTTCTCAGCCCTATTAGATTCCTTCTGCACCTCTTCCTCTTGCACCGCAGCCCCTTCACTACTACGATGCAACTCCATTAGTACAGCATGTGGGCATTGGTGTTTCTCGTGTCCATAACGGCCACACTGAAAGCACACTTGTCTCTTTCACGCGCTAATGGTGCTTTACTGCTCTTCCTACACTACACACAGTGTATATTTAAAATGAGACGAAAATAATTAAAGTGGACAATGGTAGTGAATTAACTATGGATTATCTACATGGTCAACTTAATTGAATTATGCGTATTGTCCATTTAAGATGCAAATTGACGACGCGGCGGTGTGTGTGTGTGGGTGCAATTGAGATGCTTGAGGTTGTGTACTGTAAAGGGACACACATGATTATTTTTTATATAAGATTCATTGAAATCCATATTTATTTTGTTAACTTTCGAGCATGCTAAAAAAAATTTGAAATATATTTATTTTTATATTATGTATTAAATTAAAAAATGATAACACTCACATAATTGAAACTGAATTAAAGAGTTAATTGTTTTTGTACAAATTTTCTCTTCATAACAACTCTTGATTTAAAGGGGAGATGGAGAATACCAAGAAGATAATTAAAGATTTAATATGATAATATTTTAACTAGACGTAATCTGAAAACTTTTAATAATCTAAACTATTTAATAATTTTTATATAATTTTAATTGTAATATTAAACTATAATTATTCGAAAAAGGAATAGTTGAGGGTTGCGCGTTAGGCGGAGCCAATCTGAATTCTAAAGAGCGTAGCCTCATTGGCAAATTAAATTTCTTCGTTCTCAATGAGAGTGCAGATTAATGGCATCTGTTTGGGACAAAAACGTTTAAAGGCCTGGCTGGAACATAAGCCCACTAAAAGTCTACTTCTAGGGCATGCATAAGGTAGATCTTCTTCCTCTCTTTTTTTGGGTTTTAATTAGCCCATCACACTATCTTCTAATAAATCTCCAACTTTTTAGACAAATTACTCTCTCCGTTTCTTATTATAAGAGACGAATAACCGAATTACGTTGATAAAAAAAACAGTTAAAATTAGTTAAGAACAATTAATATGTAAGAAGTATAACTTTTTTTTCCAAAAATACCCTCATTAATAAGGAGAGAGAGCATGAGAGAGAACAATGGTAAATTATTAAAAGAAAGAGAAGTGGGAATGAGAGAGTGTATTAGTTGGAGACAATAAATATGGGTAAAATAGAAAATTAACACAAAAAAGTAGAGACAACTTTTAAGTGTCTCTTTTATATAGGAACATGCCATAAGCATCAAATGTCTCTTATAATAAGAAACGGAAGGAGTATCATTTTGTGCTGTGTTAGACAATCTAAAAAGATATGACTATATTCACATAAATGAAGAGCCATACGTAATAACATATTTTATATATCATAACCTAATCAGAAGACGCGTCTTCATTGGTATAATTTATAGTTTTTATTATAAACAGTTCTATTGAATTTTAATAATTATTACATCTAATTTTTAATATAAGAATTAGTTAACTAATTTGAATAGATTAAAAAAAATTTGTTAAATTAGTTATTCGTAATAAATAGGTGTTGTTATTCCTAAAATATTCTTACTAATTAAGTATGTTAGCTAGAACTGTCATTATTATAAATATTATTTTGAAAAAATAGATAAATATAGAAGACAAAAAGAATTGAGATATTATATTTAAAACCAAAATAAAAATTAAATGAATTTTTATATTAAAGATAAAGATAATATTTTATATATCAATGTACATTTCTTGTCGGTGTATACCAATAACCAATGTACAATTTTAAAATTGCCGATCAACAATGATATAAAGGTTTAAAAAAAAAAACAACAACAACAATGGTATCGAGAAAAACCCAACCAATCTAATCCAAATCAAGTCACAATAGGAAAACAACGTAAAATACAATATCATTAAGGATTAAAAAAATGGTAACAATAATTTTAAACGATAAATATATTTTGAATTTTGATTCCGAGCGAGCGTCGTCTCCATCGCGAAGTCCACTCTCTCCTCCACTATTCAAAAAGCTTCTCGGTCCCCTTGGTTTCTCTGCAAATCTGAAATGTCGATCGCCATAGTAGACCACGCCCTTCCCTACGACACTCACAATCTCTACGATGTTTCCTTTTACACTCACAACATTCACACACTGCTCACTTCTTCCCCTTCCATGGTCGATTCCTGGCTCTCCGAAACCCGCAACCTCCATTCCCTCCCCCAGCCTCTTATCGTCGGCCTCGACGTCGAATGGCGCCCGAATTTCCACCGCAATATGGAGAATCCGGTCGCCACATTACAACTCTGCGTCGGCCCTCGATGCCTCATATTCCAAATCCTTCACGCCCCAAACATCCCCCAATCCCTGATCAATTTTCTCGCAAACGCGAATCACACTTTCGTGGGCGTTGGGATCGAAGAGGATGTGGAGAAACTCGTGTGCGACTACGAACTGAGTGTGGCCACATTCGTTGATCTGCGCGATCTGGCGGTTGACAAGCTGGGGGATAATGAACTGAAGAAATCGGGGCTCAAGACTCTGGCTCTGCGTGTTCTTGGGAAGGAAATTGAGAAGCCAAAGAGTATCAGTAGAAGCAGATGGGACAATCTGTGGCTTACTCCTGAGCAGGTAAAATACGCCTGCATCGATGCCTTTATTTCTTTTGAAGTCGCAAGGCTTTTGTATTCTGGCCAACTCTAGCCATGGGGATTGCTTGGGATTCAGAACTTGGTACAATTCGTGGATAAGTTAATTCTGGTGTGATGTGTGGTTCTGTTAAATGTGGATTACTGGAGTTTGTTTGTATTTTGATGAAACTTTTCTATGGTTCATGAAGTGACTTTACCAATAACATGTCTCGTGTGTGGAGTATTTCATAATTGATGGTTCTCAGACAATAATAGGATTTTGGAGGATCCAAGGTTGGTATACGCAATATATATAACTGATGTCTTGTTTTGCCAAGGCATGCGTTTGAATTCTCTTCTTTTGTTGATGTTGTTTTTTTCCCTTTTCTCACAAGAAGGGCTTCACACACACACGCACCCAACTAGGTTTGAACACGAAGGTGCTCACAAGTGATGAATGATTTGTAAATATTTTGTAAGTATTTTTTAAGTTTTGAATTTTGTTCTATTTTTTTATTTTTTTATAAGAGAAGTAAGAGTGATCAAGATCATTTGATAAGAAATTTGGTTTCCATAGGTAAATAATTAGCAGCTTAGGCTTCTTCTGAGAGCCATTTCTTGATCTATTTTTAGTAGTCTGTCCTATGAAAGAACTTCTTTCTTCTGTGTGAAATAAAAATATTAAAAAAATAATATTCTTCCATATCTAAATATAAAATTATTTTATAATGTAATTTGTATTACAAAATAAATTTTATATTTAAGACTAAAGGAATATAAATTCTTTAAACCTAGTCATATTCTCTAGTAAAAAAAAAAAAAACCTAGTCATATTTGAGCAACATAAAAATTTTAATCCCGCAAGGAATCGAAGTCTCAATCCTCCTTCGTAGACTAACGTAGTGATGTTTACTCTTTTCTTGAGCACAGCCACATGATGCTTTATGATTGTAATCGGCCCAGAGAAACCAATTTTTTCAAAACTTGAAAGCAAATTCTTCAGTCAAAAGGGCTAGGAAAAGGAAAAAGAAAGAAGATGAAAAGGTTAAAAAGAAAACAAAACACCTTGAAAGCAAATTCCAACACCTCATTTTTAAGAAATTATTATTAGTACAGGTGGAAATACTCCTATGACTGATTATAGCTACCCAAACATGGTC